TCTACAGGTAGCAACATATTTAAAAAATGAAACATAGCCAGCCAGTATTTATCTAACCATACAGCCCTGAAATTTCTCAACGAGATTGCCACAACACTTGAGAACGATATAGTCGAGTTTTTCTCACACCTTACCTGCCCTGGGGTGTGTTTGCTAACCTTCTAGACGTCAATCAAACATATGAAGAAGTATTTAGATCTCGACAAAGTCTCATTGCTATGTATTCATGGAAGATTATATTGGGTTGGCAACAAAGTTGTTGTGTTTTTTTCTAATCCTCTAAAATATTCGCGAAGCTTCTAGAAGTTTCCATACTTGGGATATATATATAGGGGCGCGAATGTGTTGCAAACAACAACAAAACTATGAGTAAAGAACTTGGTTTCGAATTAGAAATAGAGATTTCTTGTAGACAGCTTTGAGTGCTTTTACTTCATGGATTCCGATTGGGCCGTGCAGCAATGGAAGCAACCAGGAACATATAGAGAACGATGGGCAATGATATACTCTCCATTCGTGCAGCATAACATCGATCCAATCGATTTAAGAACGGGAACTTCGAACTTGACAATTTCCTTCGTGCGGAAAGGTCAGTGAAGGTGGATATTAACTTATTAAAACAGCTTACTGGAGAAGATCGGAGATTAACTGCATGCCATCTAGCAGAGTGGCTTGGATGCTCTCATACTGCGGTAGAAAAATATCTGAGCGAATTAGGCAAGACGTGGAAATATGGAGTTTGGATACTCCATGAATTATCACCATTTCAGATCCAGCACAAGATCGATGCAAGTATGGAATTACTGACTTCTCATCGCAATTACGAATGGCTCCGCGATCTTATTACCGCCAATGAAAAGTGGGTAATGTATGTCAACCACGCGCGCAAGCGACGATAGCTGAGAGTTGGAGAAAGAGATATACCAACGCCAAAAGGTGAACTTCCTCTAATGATGATTATATTGAGCGTTTGGTAGAGCATAAGAGATGTAATTCATTGGGAACTTCTTCCAACTGGTAGCACTGTTACTGCTGATCTCTACCGCTAAGAATTGGACCGAGTTGCAACAAAAATTTAGGGAAAGCAGGATATAGTTTATCTTTTACAAAACAATGCCAGACCTCACATCGCAAAGTCAACGCGTGGAAAAATATTGGAGCTTGGATGGACTGCGGTTCCACATCCACCGTATTCTTCAGACTTAGCTCCTTCGGACTACCATTTCTTCCGTTCTCTTGCAGATCATTTGGGTGAAAAAAAATTCGCGGACAAACACAATCTCAAAATGGACCTCGATAACTTCTTCACCCAAAAGTCCCAGAAGTTCTACAAACGCGGAATTCTTTTTCTTCTAAGACATTGGCGACAAGTCATAGACAGTAATGGAGCACACATTATTGAAACTTAATTGTATTTTTGTAGTGAAAAAATAAAATGAAATTTAAAAAAAAACGCAAAAAGTTTGTTGTCAATCTAATAGAAAATACCCAACTTATACGTGAATACAAAAAGGACTGTAATGAACATTTATTTCAAGTTACTGTTGAAGCTCAACTTCACAATAACTTAATCGCTTCCGTACTTTTGTCCACAAATCCACATATCCATCGTGAATATGACGCGAACGCCAATATCGATTTGCTTGAGCTATTGGGTAATTTAAATGAATACACAGATACTACATCCAATGCTACGAAAAAGTCGGCAAAAACTAAATGTACTTAAGAAATTATCACAACAATCTAGAATATTGGACGATTTACACATTTAAATAGTAAGTATTATTTTGATGTAATCAATAAGATTAAAGACACTGATGAAAAATTTGTTCTATCAAATAGTCAACTTTTCTTAAGTGAATCCATCGATCAATGACTTGTATTGTTCATTTCTGCAACATCTAACCTTATTCGATTCTATAAAAAATGCTGAGAAGAGACGAAGACTGAAAAAGAACGACTTAGATAAAATTGGATAGCAGGAAAATATGATAAGAGCAATGCCACGATTGATTACGATACTGCAAAAGATGCCATTATAACAGTAATATATTCGAGCTATAATAACAAAAACAACTCGACAAACTACAGCTCAATTCTTCCAGTAGTATCAATTACAGCTAGCTTTTCTATGCAGGAAAGTATTGCTGATGAATTTACGTTAAAGGGAGAACAATTAGCTGCATGAATGATAATAACAAATCATCGTGATAGTGACAGCCGATCTCGTATAGGTACTTTTATTATGCAAATCATAATAAATCAAAGCATATAGTATTTTTAGGTGACAATAATGGTCAGCTCATAATATGCATATCTGGATGTGGCGACACAGGTAAATCACAATTTACTGCTGCTCTCAGCAAGTACGGCCTTTTTAAGAAAAGAATGGAAATGATGCGAAAGTTCTCACCTACAGAAATTCCAGCTGCTCAAATAGATGGCATGACGATTTATTCTTTTTTGAGTGAATAGCATAATTCAGGAAAATTTCGAACCAGCAAGCCAGATGATTCAAACCTTGAGGGAGAATGAAGACTTGCGGAATATCTCTTAATTTGTTAGATGAGTATGGTTGATTTAAGTCTACTTGCAATATTCCGCCGAATCACTTATGATGCAAAAAATATTGATCTTCAAGTTCCATTCGGTAATATGAGTATTGTTTCGTCCGGGGACTATTTACAATATCAATCCACATCCGATGCACCTCTGCACACCGATTTTTTCTTGTCGTTCAGAATAAAACCGGGCAAAGTGTCCGGTGAAAAGGAAATGCAACAACGTGTTGCGCAATCGTTAATTCTTCCAACTAATTGTGTGGTACAACTTACTCAATGAATGTGAACAAAAGATTCATGACATCGGCAGCTACTCGAATAATTTCATCACAGCGAGTATAATCACGACAGCTATGAGTTATTACTCACATGAATAGTTGATCATCCGTCTGAAGTACCTTTCCGTGATTCTCTATGAAACAAACTTATTTTTTAAGCTCCCATTCTTCCGTTTCAAAATGAAGTACAAGCATAGCTGAATCAGAAACCAGCAAACGTTGTCTTTTTTATTTCTACATTTCGAACAGAAATATTGTTTTATTATTTTTGATGGATACCATTTTTTTTATCTCGTTGCTATTTGCATAGTATATATTTTCTTTTTTTCTATTAAATTTTATAATTTATTATTATTAGTCTAACCATTAATTTGATGGAGAAATAAAGCTGTTGTACACATTCGTTATATCGACAGTAGATCTTAACAATCTATTATGTATCTCACTAGACTTTGTAAGATTGAAATTGATTATTTCCGAAAGTTAGAAATGAATTTGGTCATACTTTTGTGGTGATCATATGACAGTTGTAGAAAATTAAAATATCATTCTTGGTATCAATCATATCATCATTTATCTGCACAAAAATCTGGAATTGCGTTATTTGGAATATTGATAAACGTATTCGAACCTTTTAAATTTCAAGAGAGCTTCTGAAATGTTCGAGAACCTTCTCAGCCTGGTTGCCAATATCGTTCAGTATCTCTAGTCCTTGTTCCTACCGTTTGGAATAGGATACTTAGGGGAAGAGGAAGCGGCAAAAGCCTCAATTTAAACTTTCATTCACTATATTTTCGAAGAAAATATACGTAAGTTTCACAAAATAAGGAGCTTATAGGCCGCCAACTTTCCAATCCATTCTCCAACATTTCAAACTTATGCTTTACTGCGTTTGCAAGTGCATCACGATGTATAACAAGAGTTTTTTGAAGCCCTCTAGTAATACTCCGTCTCATAGCGTTTGTTAGACATCATCCAAATGTAATCTGAAAATCTCTGATTGACATTGAGAAAGTTTTCCCGTTCATCTTGAGTATTCAAAGAAACAATTCTAGTGAACTTCTTCTATCTGGATATAAAGAATGTATAGTGTGCCTTTGAAACATAGAGTAAACTTCATTTAGAAAGTATTTTTTAGTGGAAAGGCACGACAATTTCTTTGTACGGAAGAAACTGCTATTCAAGAAGGATAGTTTTTGTCAAAAAAAAAAGCAAAAAATAAAATATTCTTTTTCCAGAAAGTTGTAAAGTGGAACAATAATAATTATGATCAGAAGATGAAACTTTTCAAATGCTGAAAAATGACTATTTTGATCTGTTCAGATGTCAACATAAAAAAGAATAACGCCAAGTAATATTGTATTTTCAATTCCACAATTGACAGCTTGATGCAAGCTGCATATTTTTCATGTAGCTATCCATTTGTGCATTATCGGATAAAAATTCAACACAGTTTTTGTAGTAAATTTCGTGAAGAATCTTTTGCTAAAGGATTAGGTTTTTAATATTGACAAGAAAAAACGTTACAATCAAAGTAATCAGAGACTCATTCCTTACAAGGCATCCGATACATACCAAAATAAAAAAACAACATGAACTTCTTTCTGCCTTCGCTCCAAGATGTGTGAATAAAAAAGCAGTGTTAAAAGAATTTAGAAATAAAATTTTCTTTTCGTTGTAATACGGCTGTGTCCATGGCTTTTTTTATCTTGATAGGAAAATGTAGGTTGCTTTTAGATGAAAACGTTGTTAAAATCCACGCACTTATAATTAACCGTTTTCCAATTTTTAAAGTTAATCGGTTTTAGCAAAATTGAATAAGTTTTAAGCTGCACTCACTAAACAATATACTTTATTTTTGTCGAATACTGTATATTTCTGTTTTTTCAAAATGTATAGAACAACAGATTGAACAAAAATGGCACAAAGTAGAATTAAAAATTCAACGAAGCAACTGGAAGCTATGATAAAAAATCTTAAATGGTTTTCTCACCGATTTTTTTCGAAATTATTGCTTGTCCTTTTATTTGCCAATCTATTTACTGTCTATTTTGGAATATCAGATGAATGTGTAGCAGAAAGGACGGAAATAATATCAATCGAAGAACCAAGAATTCATATTACATCCAATGTCCAGTCCACGTTTGACTGTACAGGCAATATGAATTATGAACATGGCTGGCGGTATCGAACGTGTTCATTTCAAAATATTTGTTATGATAAATCAAAGCAATTATTTCATTTTTATCAACATCCGAATTCTTCTAGAAAACCCATCTTGTTTGAACCCAAACGAGGTCATCTGTATGATTTTCACTTCAATAATCATGGTTTTGTCAATCTTGTTGCTCGTGCCAGTCGATACGAATCATGGGGCCCGACAATTGTTGATGATCTAATACCAATAGTTAATGTGACCAAATTAATTCAACCTCATGTTCTCTTTTTACATTGGCATGTCAAACGATTCAATCCAGGACATGTTATTTGGGAAGATATTTTGGCACCTTTTCTCACAATGGTTCGTCTTAGCGAATATAAACATAAACAAGCTGTTTTAATGGAATATAAAAATTTTCCACCAGCTGATTCGAAATTTCGTAAACTTTACAATGAATTAGTACCTTCATATGCAGCCAAAGTTGTCTCTCTCGATGACTACATGAATAGTTTCCCAACTCCGTTGGTTTGTTTCAAAAACGTGATGGCCGGTGGTGGTACAGCTATGTTTTCGCTTGATCGAGAACATTTCACTCATGGCAAAGAAAGAATGTTGTATGATTATCGAAATGCCATTTTAATTCATCATGGTGTTGATTTAAGTCAGCCACCGACAAGTCATCGAATAGTATTGGTCAATAAAACTGAAACCAATCGAGAAAGTACAAGAGGAATTAGAAATCTTCTAGAAGTTGAACGATTTCTTCGACAAACATATCCTCGGATCAAAATTGATGTCATTAATTGGAAAGGAATGGCATTTCGAGATCAAATGCATGAACTACATTCGACAACCGTGTTAATCACACCATGTGGAGGTGTCTCGTCTACAGTGCCATTTCTCCCCAAAGGTGCACATGCAATTATTATGGATTATTATGTGAACAAGGCTGCCTACATACCGGGAGAAATGTGGAAAGTGGGTGAGTCAGGTTCGATGGATTCGGCGATTTGGAATTACTTTCCTCATATTCGAAAGCTTTATTATCAAGTAAGAGGTCAGGATGACTTCGAGTTTGCTTTTCCGAATGCAACCAATGCCCGCTATGACGTACAAATTATTATCAAAATGCCTAGATTAAAGGAGCTGATTGATACGGCTATTCAGAATTCCGGTTGAGCTACCTAATGCAAAGATGGACAGCCCAGGTGTTTATCCACTTCATCTTCATACTTTTCGGTCGCTCACCTGCGAATCAGCTATGACCACACTTTTAATCCACCCTACTAGCAGCAAAAGTCGACTGTTTTAT